CCGCAGTGCAAGCCTGTGTTTCGCTAACACTCTCGGCGCGCTTGGCACGACCACTGCCGAAAATGTTATCCAACACATTTTTGTACTTCTTTTTCTTAGCCAATTCTGATTCAGGATTTGTATTTGAGCGTGGTATTTCACCCAATACGCCTTGCCCATCGAAAGTGTTGATACGTTTTCGTGGCGGTGGTAGGGGTGGAAGTGGAGGTGGCGCAGTTGTTGTTCCACTTGCTGGCTGTGATTCAGTAGATTCTTCATCGATGACATTGAAGGCATTAGCGCTGGGCTTCATCTCTTCGTAAATACCAGAAGCAATGGAAGCACGCGAAACGCGTCTTGAGAGACGAGGTTGTCCATCAATATTTTCAAAAATCTCTTCATAAATCTCCGAGCTGTGTGACACGCGACGCGACCAATTACTTTGATTAGAATCTAGACAGTTTGGAATATTAGGTAGGGGCCCAAGGGTGGAATAAGGTGCTTCAGACAAACTGAAATTTAATTTATTAAATATTTGTGTTTACTTTTTTTTTGGCATACCTAAAGAATACCGACCCTTGAGCTAGAGAAAAAAGAAAACGTCGACGTGGTGCACCCCTTTCTGCTGAGTTTAATGGTAAACTTTTTTTTTTGGTACAAATTGACAGGGGCGGCGCTAGGGGAGGCTAAACATGCACTTTCCAACATTTTCAAAAGCTTATATTTTGAAAACTATTGTACCGAGTTTCAAACTATGGACACAGTTGGAAAGGTAATTCAATATATATATATATATATGTATATAATGCAAACATATTTTGAGAAAAAGTAAAAAAACGAAATTATGGCAATTTTTTTTATAAAAAGGTATGTTTTTCGTAAAACATACGTAATTTACAAATATGTTTATCGGAAAGATCATAAAAATACCTTTAATTTGGCTTATAATTTTATATACATAGTTAGGTTTAAGTACAACTGCCAGCAGTGCAATAAAACAATTGTATTAATGTTATATGTTTTCTGCAAAAGGTGTTCTGCCCCTTTTCTTTGGCAACACAGAAAGGAGAATTCTACGTAGTGAGGGTTATAATCCCTAAGCGCGGCCGAAGGCCGCCTACGCAGAAAGGTATTCTCTGCAAAAGGTGTTCAGCTTCTTTTATTTGGCAACACAGAAAGGAGAATTGTACGTTGTGAGGGTTATAATCCCTTATCGAAAAAATACTGTGGATAGCGTAGCTTGATTAATTATCCATTTAATTCAACAACTCAATCTTATAACAAATAAGGTGATTAAAAAAAATTGTTTGTAAATATTTCTTTAGTATTTTTTTAATTTTAATTCAATTTAGGTAAAAACTAAAGAGAGTAAGATTTTCTATCGCGCGTTTTTTTAATCCAAATTTTCACCTGCTTCGCTTTTCCTTTTTCATATAATACTATATTTTTATATATATTTAGTGAAATATGATGTCCACAAGAATTTTTTGCTACAAGTCATATATCAAATTAACGATATTTTTGTGCTCTTTCTGATAAACATATCTGTTAATATAGTTAATTACGGATTTTTTGAAGAAAAACATAAATTAAAAAAAAAAATTGCCATAATTTCGTTTTTTACCTTATATATGTATATATCTAATAAAAGGCCTTTCAATCACCTTTCCAACTGTGTCCATATTTAGAAAATCGGTTCAACAGCATTCGAAATATAAGCTTTTGAAAATATTGAAAATTCCACGTTTAGTCCCCCCTATCGCCACCCGTTTGCACCAAAAAAAATATATGCCCTTAAAATCCGGAAAAGGGGGCGGGCCACGCCCACTTTTTTTCTCTAGCTTAAAGGCCAGTATTCTTTAGGTGTTCCCTTTTTTTAAACAACTTACTTTCCATTCTCCTGTTTTGATTGGCTATTTATCTGTTTGTTTTCCTTCTCAAATTGCATTATATGTACACCAGCCGCGCCCATACTTGGACCGCGACTTATTCTATTTTGTTCCAACATAAACTGCCGATGCAACTCCAAATTTTTAATAGTCTTTTTAATCCACTTCATATGCCTTCTGCAACTTGTATCCGTTTCGAGGGCGAAATATATGTAACACTGCTTCCGATTCTGTGTCCAGAAAAGGCCATAGCTGAACTCTTTTGTGCGCGAAGCAGCTAAACTTATGCTAACGCCGGGAACTATAATTGATACACTTATGTATCGTTTGGGATCAGCACGTTCCTCCTCCGCTACGCTCGCCTCAGCATCATTACATCCTGAGATGGTAGCACGCAAATAGCTGGGCAAACACTTTATTCCTTCAATTTTTACTTCACATCTGGACCATTGCTTGAATTTCAGAGACTCTGGGCGTTTATTGTGTATATCCAGTTTAACATCCATGAACATTGTTATCTCGTTATTTTCCATTTTTACTACTTTAATTAAATAAATCTCACTTTGTATTAACCAAAAACATTGCTAAACAAATAAAAAATTTCGGAAAAATGGTAAAAGAAAACTATCTGTAGTCCTGTATGTACAACAACAAATTAAGGCGAATATCTATTTACTGGGGAGGATACCGTTCCTTTTCAGTGTTAGGACGACAAACTCACAAGGGAAGTAATGGACATGGAAGTTTTACTCTTAACAAAATATTACTGAAAATAGTTTACCGTGCCAATTATCTAATGTGTTTAGATAATAATATTATTACATGTATTAAAGGGGAATTTTATTCGAAAATACTATAAGCGGATATCTCTCATAGGTGGACAAAAAGTAGCAAAAATCGGTATCCGCTTATGGCAGCTTTCACTGTAGGAGTGTTCGCTATGCAAAAAATTTGTACAAGTTGATACCAATTGTTACCAAATCGTGTTCGTTTAGCCAAAAAACCAGAAAACTTGCAAGGAGAGAGCCATGGCACAATAAATAGGTAGAAGCAGCAGGGTTGCAATTTTGATGTTTTCTTCTTGGTGAAAAACCTGAATTGTCAAACTTTGTTTACTTTCTATCAAAGAAAACTAAGTTGTCACTGATTTGTGAAATTGTGTTTTCATGCGAATTGTTCCTTGATATTTTTGTGAATTGATATTAATTCAATTAGCGAAAACTTCAGAAATAGGAAAGTGCGTTTTGTGTAAAAATGTAATGTTGTGATCGGACTTCTACCACATTGTGGTAGATCTGCCACTGTTTTGAGCATCTACCACTCAAGGTCTGAAATCTACCACATATTCGCGTTTTTCATGATTTTTTTTTTGCTCGACATAATTTTCTTAATTTTAAGAGCAAAAATTGTCCAACACTAAACACTATATGGTAACAAGAACGATATATTACAAGATTCCGTATTCCCGGCGACGATGAAATTTCTCAAGTAAAAGAAAACAAAGCCGAATGGGAGGATAAAATAAAGAGTCCGATCACTGAGTGCAAGGCGTATATGAATTCGCCTTGAACAGCTGTTTGTCATATTTGGCGGTAAAGTTGAAATTTCTTTCATCCGCCGTGTCTTTTGTAGGCCCAAAAATGAGTGAATCGGAAATGGAAGTGGTTTTGGCTCAGGATGACGAAGAGGACGATGAAAAGCCGTAAGAAATTCAGTAAATAATGTGTGGTTACTATTTTATTTAACTAACTCTCCAGTTATGTTCGTACTCTGGAAGATGTACAAAGTATCATTAAACACGCCAAGCTGGATGCCAAGAATCTTACACAGGTTACACAAGCACTTTATTACCCTTCCGCCAGTATGGATAATGATAATTTGAAACTTCTTGAGCTGGACTCGCATATGCACCAGCAAATCCGACTTGGCCAGACTCTATACTTCAAAGGGGGCCACAATGAAAAAATAGTGCTTTGCACTGAAGAGAAAACATATGACGTGAAAGGCGCCGAGATATCAAACAGTCTTCTGTTGGTGCCGGATTTGAAGTTTGCTGCTGCCACCAGCACGTCTCCATTGAAGAGTCCTCGCACTGGTACGTCTTCGCTAGAAACAAGTTTAAATGATGATGACGACGACATTTCGGTCGACAAAGTGCTAGAACAGCGAAAAGTATTGAAAATTTTCCATGAATATTTCGAGTGCCGCGAAATACGGCCACGTTATCGTAAAATATACGAACTGCTACAGTTGACGCGTTTCTCAGGGCCTGAAAATGAAGAATACATTGATCGCAAACTACTTTTTACATACAATCAATTGTTGGACACAGTGCAATGCAGTCGGAAGCAATTCGACGAAGGGTTATTACATTTCCGCGTAATGGAATACGATGGGCGCATGCGTGTGCTCGAGTGTGAATACGAGATGCGCATTTTGAATTGTATGCTTGCTCTGTTGAATGAAAATTCATGGCCTTTAGATGAAGTCGAATTCGAAGAAACGGTGGCAGCTTTGGAAGGCATTGCTCCTTCTGATATCGTAAAGGGACTTTTTCGCATATACACTGTACCGACTGAGGGAAAAGAAGGGAAATTCACATACAAGGAGGAATTGGTTGCACGTATCATAGCACAAAATATTTTGCAACCAGAGCTAAAATTCCGTAAAGATGAGTTCATGAACACTTGGCAAGAAGCTATGCCAGAGGGAATGCACTGTGACGTAAGCTTTTATATGCGGTTTTCAATTATTGCAATCAATTTTCGTTTTTATACTGTTCATCTAGGAAAAATATTTGCGGGCGCTGGGCATTATCGATAAAGAAGGGCATACAACCTGTATACGATCGTTAGTTGAAGAACTTCTTCCAACGAATATACACGAACGCATGCGCATATTATTCAAGACTAAGACGCGCTGGACAATGGATGAAATGGAACCATACATTGAGTAAGTTCCGACTATTATTTTACACCAATATACAAAATACCAACACATAAAATTTATGCTTGTAGATGTTTTAGTACACCTTCCCTTTCGGTGTCCACATTGCTGGCGAAGCATGCGCGCTCTCTTACGGAGAACGGTGTGCGATATTTTGTATCAAAACACTGAATTAGTCTAATTAAATAATTTGTTTTTTTTATGCAAAAAGTTTCCGTTTCTTGATCCGATCTTTTTTCGCTTGCTTCAAATCATCAATGGCGGCCTTCATTACATTTACAGCGCTGCCTTTGTCAGAGGCTGTGCCAGAGGCACCAATATCTGGCATTTGGAGCTGGCCACTGCTAGTTGGATATCTAAAAAATACAGAAAAGTATATAATTTTTCCGAACCAACTTATGTGATCGAAATAGTGACTTACTTAAAACTAAAGCCCTTTGGGAACATAGGTTTGCACAGCAATGCGCTAAGTTGTGCGCGTACATTTTCCAAATGTAGACGGTCGCGCCTCTTTTCAACCACAAATGCATCTTCATCATCCTGATCGCTACCACTAAAAAAAGGAGTATAATCAGATTTGGTTTTATATTTCTTGCAGGGCTCCCTTACGATTCGTCATTAAACCCGTCAATAATCATATCCATTTCCTCTGCTTGTTTTTTCATCCAACCGATCTCACTTTGTGTGCGACGCAATTTCAGCTCTTGCTTATCAACTTCGCGAGCTAAATTAACACGTTCCTTCACAGCGCGTAGATATTTCTCCGAGACCGGAAACAGTGGTAAATCTTCGGCTTTAGGAAATGGGAACACAAATATTAAGAAAGGCCATTTGAAAGCGCGCATTAACCTACTTCTATCCAATGTTTTGTAAAGTTTCACGTAGTTCTTTACTTCACCTGGCTCCATGAACATCACAGTTATTCCATTTTTATTGGCACGTGCTGTACGACCTGAGCGGTGTACGTAATTTTCGCTAGTCCGCGGAACCTAAACAAGACTTAGTAATTCAAAAATGCTTTAATAAATCCTTTTGTCTGCACTTACTTGATAGTGTATCACATGCTCGACATTGGGTATGTCAAGACCACGGGCAGCTACATCTGTGGCTATTAGGAGACCGTTTGGGTTGTCACGGAATCTTTCGAGGTTCTTCAGACGCTGCTTTTGTACCATACTCGCGTGCAGCGGCAAAGGTGCACACTCCAATAGACCAAATAGCGTAGCCAAGCGTTTCACACAATCGATTGAGTTGCAAAAAACGATTGTACGTCCAGGATGACGTTGCACGAAGTAGTATAGATAATAGTCCTTCTGGTCAATTGGACAGATTAGTCGGCATTCGGTGAGGGTCTGTGCGGTTTCTGCATTTTTTTTTTTTAATAAAATATGTTATAAAAGTCTAGTATGTGATTTGAATGTCTATTAATAATGAAACGTTGCTATTGCAATTGAGTCACACTTACGTTGACTTCTGGTGATGTCCACAATTTTGGGCTGTGAAATTCCTAGTTCTTCAATAAGGCTCTGTATTTTCAAGCCTGGTGTCTGTTTAATAAATTTTTTTCGCTTTCCAACATTTCGTCCTACAATCAAGTCATCGATTAGTATTCTTTACATTTATAAAAAATCTTACGCTGCATGTGGTCCGGTAAATCATGAACCAGCGTCAAAGTCGCCGAAAATACAAAATTTTGACGAGTTTGCTTTTTCTCTTCATTTGCGTTCAGCACCTTTAGAAGACTGCGAAGTTCTTCAAAATGTCCCTTCTCTACCATACGATCAGTTTCATCGATGACCAAAAAGCTTATGTCCTCCATTTTACTCAAATGTGGATTTTCCTGTTCATAAAGTTCCCACAAGCGCCCAGGTGTCGCGACTACTATTTCTGGGCACTGTTTCAGTAGACGCTCTTGTTTTGCCACCGCTAGTCCACCGAAAATCGCTGCCACTTTTATACCTGCGAAACAAAAATTTACGAATCGTGAAACAAATAATTGATTTTAGCAAAATTGAGTACCAGTGTATTTGGCTGCTGCCACCAAGTGGTCTCTGACTTGCACTGCCAACTCACGAGTTGGTGTCAGTACAACCGCATAAAGTGGACCATTTTCTTTCGCATCTTCATCCGATTCGCTTGCTTCGTCTTCTGTAGGCAGAGTTGGATAAAAGTCTAGCTCTTCTGGAGGTGGCGTAAGCTCACGATCTTCCTCAACTTGCTTGGCATTTATGTCCGATTTCTGCCCTTTCACTTTTGGTGCTTTGCGTATGCCACTACGTACGTTTTTCGACTTTAGTTCCATAATACCGGCTAAAATTGGTATACCAAAAGCTAATGTTTTTCCGCTGCCCGTCTCTGCCGCACCAAGAATATCCTTCTTGCCTAAAATAGCAGCGGGAAGTGTCATTACCTGAATTTCTGTCGGGGATTTGAAGCCTTTCTCAGATATTGCCCGCAGAACGGGCTGTGGTACACCTAATCCATTCCAACCCTGTGGTGCATGTTCCTATATCAGTACCAATAAATCAATATTTAATCACCTACATACCTCTAAGTCATCAATGCTTAACGCTGATTCGTTAACTAATTGCGGCGCTTCGGTTTCATCATCTTCGAGATTTTCATCCGCTCCACTGTTTTCAAATGCCGGTGGTCTTAGCAGTGCAAATCGGTCTGGCGGATACTCTTCATTAGCCAAACTGTCTTTTTGACTAGGTTGATCATCTTTGCTTACTTTGGTAGCACTCCTCTTTTGTTTGCGTTTTTCTCGCCTTTCTTTCCTTTTCTGTAGTAACTTTAATTTGCGTTCTGCTAAGCGTTTCTTTCTGTTTTCAGGCTTAACACTTGCTTCTTTTTCTGAGTCTGAGTCCTCCTTTTCTGAACCTTTATCATCTGCCGTCTTCTCCAACTTGCGTTTTTTGCTCTCTACTTTGCGGTCCATTCGCTTCTCCTTCCTAGTACGCCTTTCCTAAAATTTAATGTTTTTACACAATGCGAAATAATAAAGTGATATACCTTAGCTGTTTCAACCATTTTGGGATCATAATCTTCCAGAACTTCTAAACCGATAAGGCCTTCGAAGCCGCCACCATCATCAGAGATAACGTTGCCCTTGATTTTTACTTGCTCCCATGATTTATTCTCCAGTGTGTCGCCCACAGTTTTTATTTTGTTGGGCTTTACTTGGATTTTTAATTTCCTTGTTTTCGCTGCAGGCATCTTGTTTTAATTAAATATTTTACAAATTGTGGGTTGTCATATGTGTTGATGCGGTAGTGAAAACAAATAACTTTTTGACGTTTGTGTCCGCACGTGCATTTGTTTTAGCGAGTTCGGAAAAACATCGATGCATCGAAAATATCGATGTTGTCCTACGATGAACCGAGATTTTTTGAAAACTCACATTTATAGTACATTAAGCCGTAATTTCGGGAAATGTTTAGTTCCGTTCCCAAGTTCCGTTTGAAGCATAATTAGATCTTGTGCAGTAATTAATTTGGGTACTGTTTGCATATTTGTACAACGATTTTGGGGTGCTGTGCCCAAACGCGTACTTCGAATCAAAAAGCTTGTGCACACACTTGTAGACAACAGTTCACGCTTTATTACAAAAATAAAGTTTAGTATATCTGTGCACTAATTTATTAATATCTGTTGGAAATATGGTATTTTTGCAAGTTTCCGAGCTGAGCTGTCAAACAAGAAGTATGCACGAAATATCTCTGCAAACGTGTTCAGCCCCTCTTATTCGACAACACAGAAACGAGAATTTTACTTAGTGGGTGTTATAATCCCTAAGTGCGGCCGAAGGCCGCCTACGCAGGAAGGTGCTCTCTGCAAAAGGTGTTCAGCCCCTCTTCTTCGGCAACAGAGAAAGGAGTAGTGAGGGTTATAATCCTTTTGGAAAAAATCAAAATTTCCCCAATTTTCAAACAGCTCCCAAGACGTCTGTAGGGACGGTGAGGGGGGAGGGATGAGTTTTCATAAAGCCTCGTCCATCCTCTTTCGTTTAAGGTGGGTTTTGGGGGGCCACGCCCCCTCCCCCCTCTGTCCCCAACTGCAAAATCATTGCACAAATACAAACATTTCCCATTAATTTCAAATGTTGTACACTTTTGCTAATAACATACTTTGTTGTGGAATATTATCTTAAAATCCTATGCGAATCGATGTGTCGAAAAGTATCGATATAAGTTTCGATGCATCGAATCAAAGAAATACATCGATGTACTGACGTTTCTAATTTGTTTGGATTTGTAATTAGTTTAACAGCCACTGTAGGCGTCGATTGCTTGGAAGGGTAACCACATCTCCACAATAATCAAATTTGAGATAAATTGGTATAATTTTCAATGAACTATTTTCTGTCAAAATTTTCCACCATTATAGCCTATATAGGGAGATCTCCCTTCGAATTATAGTAGGCAAATATACATGCATACATATGCATATATTAATAAAAAACAAGGGTTCGATACAATTAATTTTATTTCCGCATAGGTCTCACAAAATTTCGTTCCATTTCATATCGATAGTTGCATAAAATATTTTAACTACATATACCTATATATATTCTTCTCAGATCGGATTCACAATTATTAATGTCGCTAATTAATTATCACTATTGAATTTTAAAATTTTATGTCAAATTATGCCACACCCAATTTCGCCTTCAATGATGCGGGCATTTCCGGTGGTGGTGGTCGGGGCATGTGCAGATAAACCTTAACGGCATCATAGATGAACCACTGAGCGGCAGTTAGAGTACCGATCATCACAATCCTAGGTCCAAGACCACCCCAAAGGCCTACATATGTAAAAAAGGAAATAAAGCAAAAAAAGAAAATTTATTATTTTTTTGTTGAAAACCCAAAATTAATGTTTTTGCTGAAAAATTGCTACATACCGGCCCATCCCAGTTGTTTGGCTACATCGAAGGCTGAAGCGCCCTTGGCCTGGTTCAGTTTCGATACAACGGTATCGGCTGGATGCGACACAATGGCACAGAATACACCAGCAATGTAACCTGCGGCGAAAGTGACTACCAATTGCTCACCTTTCGTGCAGTCCTGACGTGGTTTGGGTACAACATACCTACAAAGAGACTCCCGTTAGCTCTAATGGCTGTTGTTGTTGTTGTTGTAGCGGCTACAACAACCCCGCCCAGATCGGTTAGTATCTCAGTCGTTGCCGTCAAGTTCCACTAACGGCAGCCCTAGGAAGCGTGCAGCTTCTGCGGGGTTTGCCCATAAGGACAAGGTCGTTAGGGATGTCGGGTTTGCCGGGCATGCGAAGAGATGTTTCGAGTCATGTGGGGTCTCTCCGCATGCCGGACATTCATTAGGCACATCCTCATTCAGCCTACTCAGGTAGGAGTTTAACCTGCTGCAGTAGCCGGAGCGAAGTTGTGCAAGTGTGGTGCGCGTCTCCCGAGGCAGATGAAGCTCCGTCTCGTCAATGTCCGGGGGTGGTGTGCCTAGAACGGCATTCACAGGTCTAGAGTCTACATAACTCGAGACTGAGTCCCTGTGAATGCCGTTCAAGGCCTGTCTGTAGGCTGTCGGGTCCAGAGGTTGTTTAATGAACCTCTGGACTTCGTCCGTTAGTTCATATAGATGCCTCCTGACGTGCCTAGGCGAGGGCTCCTCTGCAAGCAGCTGTCTGCACGGGTGGCCACTTCTGTGGGTCCCGATCAGGAACTGCTTGCAGAGCATTATATTGTGCTCCTTTACCGGGAGCATTTGCGCCTCGCCGTGCAGGTGGTGTTCAGGCGTCATCAGGAGGCATCCCGTCGCTGTCCTCAGTGCGGTGTTTTGTGCGGTCTGTAGCTTCGTCCACTGCGTCCTACTAGTCCCAGGCGACCACACTGGCGCTGCGTAGTTCAAAACCGGCCGGCCTATTGCCTTGTATGTTGCCAGCAACGTTTCTTTGTCTTTGCCCCAAGTACTGCCGGCTAGCGACTTGAGGACCTTGTTGCGGCTCTGTACTTTATTGACAATAGCGGTTGAGTGCGCAGAGAAGGAGAGCAGGCTGTCGAAAGTTACTCCGAGTATTTTGGGGTTATTCACCGTCGGAATTGGTGTGTCATCGACGTGAATCCCCAGCGGTAGCCTGACCTCCTTCGTCCAGGTTGTGAACAGGGTCGCGGAGGATTTCGTAGGGGAGAGGGCTAGACACTTTGCAGTGAAGAAGCGAGAAAGTTCGGAGAGATAGCCGTTTACTTTCGAACACAGGTCATCAATTCCATTCCCAGTCGCCATAATCGAGCAATCGTCGGCATAGGAGACAATCGAGACTCCCTCTGGTGGTTGAGGGAGCTTTGAAATATAAAAGTTAAACAGTAGCGGGGAAAGGACACCACCCTGAGGAACCCCCTGTTTTATTTTTCGCTGCTTACTCGTTTTGTCTCCAAACATTACCGACGAATGTCGACCACTTAGATAATTTGCCGACCACCGTTTGAGCCTCTGTGGGAGAGAGGAGGCCTCTATATCTTCTAGTAGCGTGGAATGGCAGACGGTGTCAAACGCCTTTGACAAGTCCAACGCTACTAGAATCGTTCTCTCACAGGGACGGTTACGGTTAAGGCCACGAGTTATCTGAGTGTTTATGGCGTTAAGTGCTGTTGTTGTGCTGTGCACTTTACGGAAACCATGCTGATGCTTCGCTGGGGTCAGGTGATTTGTGAAGTACGGGAGTAGCAAGGCCTCGAGTGTCTTCGCTACCGGGGAAAGGAGTGTAATCGGACGATACGAATCTCCTTTGTTTGCAGGTTTCCCCGGTTTGAGCAGTGGGACCACTCTCCCCACCTTCCAGATGTCTGGGATGATGAGAGTGGCCATTGACAAATTGAGGACCTCCGTTAGGTACGCTACCCCCGCAGGACCCAAATTTTTCAGCATCAGCATGCATATTCCGTCGGGACCCATGGCTTTGGAGGCTTTCGCCTTCCCGATGGCCACCTGAACTTCACCGCAAGTGAAAGCAAGGGGGGCACAATTTGTTGGCAGTTTGTGCAGCCTTCTGGTCACTCGACGCTTGGCTTTGTCCACCGGAGGATGCAGTATGAACTGCCGGCTGAAATAGCTCGCGCATCGCTCCGGGTCCGACGAAGCATGGTCGCCGAAGGAAATTTCGACTCTGTCGTCGTGCTTCGTCGGATTAGACAATGACCTCACGGTTGACCAAAGCTTGCTCACACCAGAGGTGAAGTTGCAAGTCTTCAGATGCTCCTCCCACTTCTTCCGCTTATGTACGTTTACAAGTTGCCGAATCTCCGCGTTGAGATCCCTGATACGGGGATCTCCGGGATCGGCCTGACGAAGGCTATCACGCTCATTTGCTAAAACAGCCGCTTCGGCAGGGAAGTTTGGACGTGGGTCCGATATGCACCCTGCCGGTATGAAGCGGGCTGCAGCAGCAGTGATAGCCCTGCGGAACTTACGTTCACCGAGGTGGACGTCGGTTGGTGTGGGGAGCGATGTGAAGGTGTTTTCAGTAAACTCCGCGTAACCTTTCCAGTCAGCTTTAGAAAAGTTGACATAGGTCCGGTGTTTGGCGGAGGCAAAGTCGGTTGGTTTATCAATCGAGATGACTATGGGTAGATGGTCTGATGCTAGAGTCAGCATAGGTCGCCACGTTATGCTGTTTATCAGACCAGCGCTGACTATTGTGATGTCTGGCGAGCTACTGCAGTTACCCATAATCCTGGTGGGTGCGTCGTCGTTCATTGTGCAGAATGTCGAATCGTCTATCTGCTCAGCCAAGTCTGTTCCCCTACGATCGTTTGACAGGCTTGAGTGCCAAAGATCGTGGTGCGCATTAAAGTCACCTACTACCATACGGTTTTCACCTCTGAGGAGCGCACCTATATCAGGGTGATATCCTGCCGGGCAGCAGGTGACAGGGGGTATGTATATATTAAATATTTCGAGCTCGACATCGCCTGACCGGATAGCGATGCCCTGACATTCTAGGGTGGTATCCCTGCGGTCGATGTCTGCTTCGATAAGACGATACTGCACGGTGTGGTGCGTGATGAACGCTAAGCCACCACCATTATCTCGCTCGCGATCTCGACGGTGCACGTTGTACCCGGCGCAATTCAACAAAGTTGAATTGCTGTGCAACTTCGTCTCTTGGACCGCAGCTATTAATATACCATGCCGACACATAAAGGCGGTTATCTCCTCAATCTTGCTCTGTAGCCCGTTACAGTTGAATTGGAGGAGCTTCATGTGGTTCGGGAGACGTGTTGTGATGTGGGGTGTGAGTGAGGTGTATGTTCTTGCCGCCGTTGGCTGTGTGTGCTGCTGGGGTGATTGCCTCCCTGTGGTGGTAGTGGGGGGCGTCGCAATTGATGTCAGCGACCGAGCAGCGCAACACGGGCCCTCGAAGTTCCCCGTCCAATCTCGCGTGGTGCGCAGACCTGAACATGCCCTAAAGTGGCACCAGCCAAGGCAGGTGTTGCACTTGACTGATGTCACATTACGGAATATTCTGGTCTGACATACCGTGCAGATTGTAGGGGGAACCAAGAGTTGTTGGCGGCGGCGTGTGGGTGGTGGTGCGGTTGTGTGTGTTATGTGGTCTGTGGTGGCTGTGGTATGTTGTTGTGTTGTGGCGACTGTGTGTGGTTGCTGTGTGAGTGTGTGGGGCTGCACGGGCGGACTAAGGGTTGCCGTGGAGGCTGCTCTATTTGAGCAACAGGGGGCCACGTACGACGTGGTCCACTGTCTGTGAGTCCGTAGTCCCGAGCAGACCCTGAGGTGACTCCACCCCTCGCAGGCATTACACTTGACTGAGGTGGAGTTGTGGTGTAAACGTCTTCGGCATACACAGCAGGTGTATATTTCTGGCCCAGGGTTTGACTCGATGCCAGCCCTGAGTAGGAGAATGCGTAGTGAATGTTGCCCTATGGACGGACAACTTCTGAGATACTTCGCCGACCTAAACGGGGTTAGATCGCCGAAACAACAGCCCTTGGTCGGGTGAAACCCGAGTCATTCCGGTACGTAGAACCGGCTGTCGTGGGAATGGCTCTAATGGCTCTTCTATTTCACTATTTTTTCTTCTTACTTGTACAACAACTCCAATGTCCTTTCGAAACAAGCGAACTTCATCATTGTATATGGGATTTGTCTCATCCACAATGGTACCAGACCCTTATAGAAGGCAGCGATGCCCTCTTGTGCCGACATCTTAGGCAAAGCCTCACGCAGCGTATTTGCGAATCCAGGTGTGGTTTGGATTTTCACCTTAGCCGCCTCCATGGGAGCTAAGGCAATATCGGCAAAGAACTCAGCCGAAGCGGAAGCAGCCAAATACAACCAAGTACGGTACAGATATGAGTTCTCCTCGCCGATCGCGTCAGAGTAGATCACCTTAAATACTTCATAGAGACCAAATTTACAGAGACCTTGCATCGAATAACCGAAGAACGTTGGCGCCCAACCCTTGGAAAGGCCTTTCACGCCATCTTCTTTCAGTGTAACGGCAAAACCGTTAAACACACTCTTGTACTTCGCGGGGTCGACTTGCAGGCGACATTTCACTAAATCCAATGGCACCACCATGGTGTGAGTGAGACCGCAAGAGATAATGCCTCCAAGACCACATAGAGCGAAGTAGGTGTTTGAACCAAATTCGCAGGAGTCTTTTAAAAATAAAAACAGTTATGTAAATATCAGATTTATATTCAATTTAAAATGTGCTTACCGCCCTCAACAGTGGCAGCGGCCATTATTTGGCGGTTTGGCGTGAGCTGTGGTCCATCACTGCGTGTGTTAGTCTGGCAACTCGCTGCCGAGAATGGAGTTTTAAAGGGAGAGTTTTGGGCGGCTTCCAGCAGCGAAGTGAAGAGCATTTCGGCGAATGTAGTTCACTGATTTGGCTAAACAAAAAATTATTTTATACTTAAAATTGATATGCAAAAAATGTAGGATGTATTTAAATAAAATAGCACAGTAGACATAATTAAAAGTAAAAAAAAAAATTAATAATAATTTTAATTTTGTATTAATTAAAAATTCCCGGTCAATTTAGGCTCTTTTTATTTACTTTTTGAGGTTAACCTAGCCTTTTGCCAAAAATGATGTAACCAGCGATTACATTTAAAGGCCAACTGTCGCTTTCATGTCTATCTCTTTTTGAGTAGAAGGTCATTAACACATTTATGTCCGACAAGTTTTATGCAAACGGAAACTTTACTTTAAAAACCGTGGCTTTTAAGATTTGTTTCGTCAATCACCACGCATAAATAAATATATTTTACTTTTCACAATTAAGGCAACGTATTTTCACATTCACGGCCAGATATGTATGTACGTACATACATAAATACACATTTGCACAAAACTTCTGCAGTTTAATTTCTGACTGGCAAAGAAATTTTAAAATTTTTTTACTCCTTAGCAGATATTCTCTCTTGACTAAAATAAGAGATAACATTTTGCATTATTCTTTCACGCTTTTACATAACATGCCTATATTTTGCATTTTTCAAAATTCTAATTGCTGGCCATTGCGTAATTATATTTTAATCCGTTATTCAGTAGGTTACTCTAAATTTTTTTAAATGTTGAATTTCTACATGCACTTATAATTACTAAAGTATATTTTTTGCAACTCACTTCGATTTAGAATAGCGAAAACTAAACTCACGAATATAAGAAGATTAAACAGGAAAAAAATAAATTTAATAATTGGAATATTAACGTGCACAAACGTTCACTGCACGCCAAACCACGAACCGAAATGCAGTGTCAAGAATTTTTATTTTATCTTACAAGCATCCTCTATCTGACAACCAAGAACTCTCTGAATTTAAGAAATTTAGGTTGTATTGGCGAAACGTGACGAGAGCCCAATCATTATGTGTATGAGAAATGTATAGTATTTTGAGAAAATTGAAGATCGTTTAGGGGTTTTCTAACATTGGCTCGCATACACATTCGAAAATGCATTTGGCAAAAAACATGCTCTTTTGCGCACACATATGTACCTTTGAATGTACATACATACACACGGAAACGTGTGTGTGAATTGCTATAAGCATAACCACTGGTGGCAGATTAAGAGACATTATTTTCACATTAATTTATGCTAATTTTCTTCTGGCCTGAATTGAAAGTACCAATAAGGTCAAGGCCAGATACATGACCGCACTCATACTCCAATTAAACATCTTAATGAACTACATTTCCAGTAAAAGTAGTGCTTAGCTAATTACGAACGTTACCTATACCTATTAAAATGAAGCTTCTCCGTTTTTGCAAATTTGTTACATTTTATGACCTAATTTGTAGTGTATTTCTAGATTCAAACTCCGATTTAAGTCGTACGCATAGTGTCAAGGAATATTATATTACTTTATTATCAGTTATTATTTTTTAATAATACAAGAGCTCAATTACCAGTTTCTATTTGCCAAGAGTCATGGAGCTCATTGGCAGTATACATGTGCAATTCATATAGTACATTAAGTTAACATTTATAGTAATAAATATTATTCTTAAAACCCCGCAACTACGACAATATCTAGTTGATAATGTACTCTGGTAAAAGAGGATTGTAAAAGCCTTTTGCCTGTGTTTTCTGTACATCGCCTAGTTAGTTTTGTTGTAGTTATTTGTTGCTGCGATTGCTTGATATTGGTATAGTCGACTTCTTGCCTAACGGGGTGTTCTCCGCGGGTCAATCTTCCATTTGTTCGTTTAACTGTGCTAGTAAAGCGGCGCGTTTTGTTTCAAGTTCGGTTTCGCTTAGGGCTTGCTCTTCAGCATTCCTTGAGTTTCTGCCGGAATTTTCAATGTCCGACTGATTGCTACCGTTTGCGCTGATTGGTGTTAAGGAGCGGAGATGTTTTTTATCCTTTTTGCTTTTTTTGTCACGCTTCTTCTTCCGGGTAGCAGCATTGTCATCTATTTGAGATGCTGAAGGTGAGGCGATTGGCGAAGAAATGGGACGTTCGGATTCGCAGGATGACTGTGAAAAAAGATACATGTTAAGAGCGGAAATTATGCAAAGAAAATTTAGGCAAGCTACTTACAGCACGCGACGATTTTTTGTTCTTTCGACGCTTCTTTTTCTTAGACACGCGTTCGCTTTCCATGCTGGCACTAGAACTAACCGAACGCTGGAAAAACGTTTAAACAGTTTAAATTTGCTACTTTGTGCTTATAATTATTCTAATTGACGCTTACCGAGCGTGAATGAGATTTTCTTTTCTTCGACTTCGCGTTCTCAGATTCCTCCTGATCATTCTCAATGTCCTGTGTAACAATATATTTTATGGAATAGTTTCTAAAACTTTTTTTTGCGTCTTACCGATTTTGAACTGGAACGTACTCGTTTCTTGTGCTTTTTATTTTTCTTTGATTTGCGTGAACGCGAATGGTGGTGACTACAGGCGTCTTCATTCTCTTTGATGTAGTCCTCCCAGATCTTTTTTACGCCAAGTTCCTTTTCGTATGTAGTGAATGCTTCTAAGTGTTCCACCAACTTTTTAGCAGCTTCGTAGGGTTCTTGAACTGAAATATTTGCCTCTTGCCATTCGGCCTTAATTTCGTTTTCCAGCTTCCGCAAGCGACGCGATTCTTCTTTTATTCGCTCCTTTTCGACGGCTTCTGCCTGTTTGTGAAAATAAAATATTTTAATAATTGCGTTGGTTTATTTTGGGAGATTCAGATACCTTTTCGAGCAAAGCATTATAGGTCAATTTCACATTGCCCGCGTCCAAGTTTGCCGAGCGTTTGTCCTCGCAGACAATTGTAGCAAACTCCTCAAACGTAGTATTTGCCTGCACCACATACTGCTTTTCTTTAAGGATTTCACGTATGATTTTCTTCTCGTCATGATAGCGCGCCTTTAAGTCTTCGACATAGAACTTAAATAAATCTAGTGGGGTTGATCCAGGCTGGCCGAGCATCGCTGAAAAACGCAAATCTGCTGAGATGATTGGATACAGTTCGACCCACAAGGACATGGAGGTTAGCTTTCCAGCTTCGTGCTGCGCATCAAGCAGAGAAAGAAATGCGTCGCGATTTTTGCGCTGTTGCCGCTTTAGACGTTTCTTCTCGCGTTCGCGCTCTTCGTCCTCTTCTTTTTCCAATGAACGAATATGCTCTTCGAAAACAATCAGCGCGTCCTCCTTGTCCATGCCGAGTAAGTTGACATCGTTCTTGAAAGCAGCGTTTTGCAGCAGCATGAGTTGTGCCTGCGCCCATGTGGATTCGTACGTAATCGTGGTCATCGATTCCAGTAGTTCACCAAGCACCTTCATATTGCGCTTTTTCATCAAGCGGGTTTCCTCTCTTTCCCTCTTTGCTAAGTTGAAAATGCAGTCATCATAAATATCGCGGCGATCCTGTTCTGGTACATTTGTCCAAATTTTATTCGTCGCGAATAACTCTTCACATTTATAGTATTTCATTTGTGAATTCATTTTATCGGTGGACATGAGAAAACGTTCAAGATCTTCCTTCGCTTTTTTGGCGCGCAAACGTGACTCTTCGCGCTCGTCTTTGAGTTTTTGGGTCTTATATGCGTTAAAAGTCTGCTTCTTTTCATTTAAGTTTTTAAAGGAACTATAACGTGGATCCTTGGAGATTATTTTCACGCACTGATCCCAGTTAGCGTTTGAGGGTACATTTTTCTCCCGCAGCAAATCCTTGAAAGCTTCAATAGCCTCCTTTTTATCCTTATACATGATTTTGGTCTCCTCAGCTGGCGATTCTTTTTTAGCTGCCGTGTGATAACATTAATTGAAAATTTTCCATATTTATGTAGACATAGCTTACTTACCATTTTCCTTCTCTTCTTTGCCAGCTTGTGGCATTTCGATGGAGGCTAATGTCGCGGCCATGGCCTGATCAAGGGCGGACGAAGAGTTTTCGTTACTGCCCGGGGTCAAAGGTGATCGAATATCAGGTGTAGCTATATTTACCACAGTGGGAAGAGTCGCGGGGAGTATACTGGCCAGAGCTGCTGGTGGCACCAACCCTGCTAAGCTGGATGAAGTCATGGCAGCTACTGCCTTCGCCGCTGCGGCAGCTCTATTTTGCAATAAAATCGTTTATGTATTATAATTACTAACATTTTACAGTAAATGGGTACTTACTCTTCAGCTTTAACTTTTGATTGCATGTCCAAAAACTCAGGTGGAGGTTCCCAACGCGATTCCTTACTATTTACGTTGTGGTAGTACACTTTTCCAGCGTCCGAACGATACTCTTTCCAAGGGCATTGGTGAGTCAATCGCTCTGCCGGAGTCATCAGGGCTTCAGGTTTTTCCCAGGAGCTTTGCTTAGTATTATTATTGTAGTAATACGGTCGTCCATCTGGAGCTTTGTGTTCGGTCCATTCGGTGTTAGGCGGTATGCCACCAAACGCCGCGGCCAACTCTGGTGGCGGTGGCCCTCCAAACCCTGGCGGCGGCATGTTAAACATTGGTGGCATACCCATAGGGGGCGGAATTGCCGCTGCTACCGGAGGTACATTCATTGCCTTTTGTTACAATTAACACACAGATAGATAGAAAAAATGCTGCGAATCAAAACTCTTAAACCTGTCAACGTATGCCAAAAAAACTCGTCTGAGCTCCGTAGTTTCCTAACCTCAAACGCCGCACTTGTGCCGAGTCCAGATAATATCGGCTGCACGTTTTTAGTATGCTATATAAAAGGACAAGTTATTTTTTTTGTATTATGGATCAACTATTTTGTAACTTGCTTATAATCTTGGGTTTGTTTACATTATTAAATAAATTGAACCATGCAAAACCCGATAAAAATTACAATCCCCGGCTGCAGAAAACGCTCACTTGACGTTTGAAAGCGTCGACCACGGTTGCATTTACTGCAGTGGACTGCATAGTGACGTCGATGTGTAGATTTAGCAAAAGGTTTCAAAACAGTGAAAAATCGAGAACCAAAAATTTTCATTGAATCATGATCGAAGTATCGATTTGCTTGTTTACTTTGTTGAAGAAAAGTAGTGACATTATTAAATGCGTTTGATATTGTTAAAAAATAAAATGAACTTCATTTAATGTATACAAAATACACGTGAACATTGCAAAGATTGCAGTTTTATCAAAATATAAGTGTTAAGTGCTCCTTTTATATGAAAATTTGCTAGTGAAACTGCAAAGAATTTAACAACAAATTAGTTATACTATTACTATACTATTACTAATAAAGTGAAAAGAGTGATAAATAATGTAAATATATACGATTCTTAACATTCCCGCCAAGTTCCCTGACAAAATTTGTTATAGTTTTGTGAAAACACCCAAAAACCGATGTAATGAAAAGCCAAACCGTACCAAATATTCAGCTCTAATCAATCTATTTATGCATAATAATACTTTTTTTTACAGTTTAAAAATGGGCGCGTTTCTAAGATGCTACTGTTTACCCCAACTGTAGTGGAAATGCTGTCAACTGTTGGGTCCAACAGTTACGTCTTAGAAACAGACAGCTGATACTAAATAAAAGAGCACAAAAATAAAAAATTTTACGAAGCCAAAAATATGAACATATGAAAACTAAACCATCCCAACTTAAGCTATTATTCCATACGAAGTACATATGTACTTACATATGCTTATAAGTCCACGAATTTTCGATTTATTTTAAACATACACTTGTATTTTATTTTATTTATAGCCAGTTTAATTTTTTTTTTTTAATTTTTCTGCATTTTGAGAAGAATTAAGGGCCAAAGCGTCCAAATAAATCATAAATAATTTCAGTAGGTGTGGCAAGACTTTTTAGAGTTCTACCTTCACAAATAAACACAACACTGCAATTTTCAAGGTTGTCAAAAGTTTATTAAAATAAATAGTGCTCCGATTATGAGGGTGTTGCCGTGATATTTACCAAATACGAAAATGGTTTGCCTAAAGAGTGTTGTGTTCAAATCGGATCAATAGCGGTCTACCATCTAAATTTCGTTTTGAGAAACTATGCTCCAGGAATTGTGCATTTCATATCATCGAATCTCAACCAAATTTCTAAGGCAACAGATGAAACTAATCATGTCCAAACCCAGATTAAAATGGATGATGCTGATGCTTCTCTCACTCATTGCATTCAGTTGGTGCCTATTCTATAGTTCCAATATGAACCGGGTAGACGTTCGATATTGCTATATGAATACATTTACTACCGTTCCTTCAATTTCTTCACCAACACATAACAAACCTGCCGATGGACCACATCTTTTAGAAGACGTGATGCTAGTTGAACCAAAGCCCAACGCAAGTGGACGCAGTATCATATTTCACGAAACCAGTTGCCCACACGAGAAACTGCGAAGTAGTGTCAAATATATGGGCAACGCACCACTTAATATGATGGAGTTAACAACGCGAGAAGCTTGTGCCATCGAGTCGGCCGCATTACACAATCCGAGCTTTAGCGTTTTTGTATTATTCGCTAGTCCCGCTTACCGAGATTACAATAACACCCCACCAGTGATAGAAGCAATTCTCAGCTATCCAAACGTACATCTACGTAATTTAAATTTATGGACTTATGCAGCTGGTACTCCAATGTACCAGTGGCTTAAAGATGGAAAGCTCTTTAGTTCCAGGTAATATGAACTCAATAGTAATATTATGCTATTATAATACTCTTAACTATTCCCCGTTTTTAGTTATGTGCTTTCACATCTTTCCGACTTTCTGCGCTACCTAACATTGTGGCGTTGGGGAGGAACTTATCTCGATATGGATGTTGTGGTTCTGCGTAGTCTCGAAAAATTACCACCAAATTATACAGGCGCAGAGTCGAGTACATTTCTTGCGGCAGGAGTGATGAACTTTTCTCCCGATGGCTTTGGCCACGAAATCGCCGAGAAATGCTTACTTGACTTTTTGTTAAATTTCGACGGTGGAGATTGGGGAAACAACGGGCCGGGCGTTATAACACGCGTTATGAATGATGTGTGCAAGACTAGTAACATTGAGTTAATGATGGAACCAAAACGATGTATGGGCTTCCATGTAATGCCAAGGGAAGTATTCTACGCAATACCTTGGAAGAAATGGGAATATTTCTTCGAAGCGCAGTACCTGACCGAGACACTAGATTTGCTTCAACATTCATATGTAGCTCATGTGTGGAACAAACATTCTAAGCAAAGGCGTATAAAAGTGGGCGCCAATGCCGCTTATGGCATATTAGCTGAAAGGCATTGCCCAAAAGTATATGCAGCAGCAGGGGAGTATTTTTAAAATAAAAGAACGTAAATGGCAATAGGAATCCGGATAAACGTCATAGGTATTTTATTGCCGTATTTAAATTGGGGCAACTAATCAGGAGTTAAGTGTAACTAAAATAGTTGTTTAACTCAGAAGGAGGCAGCTTAGAATGTACAACGCGTTCAAATGTTAAGTTTTATTGCTTATGTTATGTTATTTTATGTTTTCTGACGAATGTTCTGTACATATATAACTATGAAGAGATTTAACAGGTTTCAACCCCGACCAACAGGAAGTATTCTCTTTGAAAACTCATTACTGTATTTTTTTTGTGGTATTAAAATTAAGCTAGTTTATTTACACACCAGTTCTGCACAAACAAAATTTAGCAAATCCACTAAAGTATATATTTTTTATTCTTTAAACGAATCTCAATAAATTATTAACTTTTAAGTTACTCTTAAAAACCAAAGTGTACGTACATATGTATATACAAAATTGTATGAACTTTTGATATTGTTTTTACCTGTTATTAAGCAATCTCTGAACCACTAGGATATTATATATAATCCATATTATTGAAGTCATAGTGATCATTAAGTAGCATTTACTTCATCTTTCGCTTTCTTTTTTTTTTACCGATAATGCTCTGTAAAGTAGAAGTTTGTTTAGAATAAAACAAAAATGGTCATACAAAAATGTAGTTGAAAAAGCAAAAATCCTTCCTATTTCTGCTACGTGTGCGGTTCGAAAATTATTTTTATACACATAATTTTGGAAGGATCGAACTAAATAGCGTAAATGGGTAATAACTATGTGGAATATAATAGATTGCACCTGTAAGCCAATAATCAAAGTTTTACGAACAAAATTGTTATTTAAAATAAAACATGCACTAGCACCGAAAAAACCAAAATCTTTTAATGCAATAGAGTAAGCAACTTGGGGGTTTCATATAAACGTTTTTTTTTTCTTGTGTCTTAATAATTTCATTCTTATTTTTATAAAATCTACTCATAATTTTTAACCGTAATAAATAAATTTACGCGTATGTTAACGGTCTCCTCTTCTGATGAATGAATTCTTGTTCGACACGTGAATTTTTCGGTACAATATAGAATAAAAGCGAGCCACCGGTAACAAAGAAACTACACAGTTTGAAAGAAAAAAAAAAACAAAATTAGTAAATTCAAATAAATGGTTTAACGAAGGTTTAACATACCCCTTTTCATTTAAAATATCTCTAATGGTATTACTTAAGTCAACTTTATGCACGCAGCCCACTTTCCGATTTTCATAGTAGACATTTATGTTGCCAGGGCGGTAGCTATTAGATTTATCACATGACAATGGCTCTAATAATAAGGCGTTTATGCAATCTTCCATGCTAGAAAAAATATATGTATTTCGTTATTCGAGTATTTGTATGCGTTCAATCAAGTATTTATGTGTACATTAACTTACGTTACATTCTCTTGCAGCTCTTGTTGAAAATCGCTAAATAAAAATTCTGGGTAAGAAAAGGCTGCTGGCCATACCAGAGTGTCTTTATCATCATCCAAATGCACTGGATGGTCTTCCAAAGGAAGAAACTTTGGACGTAGCAACTCCTCTGTAATAGACATATTTTTCTTTAGGTCATCAAATTTTATGCCGCGCTTCGTCAAAGCATCAATTAGTTGTTGAGTGCGTACCATGCGCTTTTTCGATTCTGCAGATTCTTTGCGTTGATCACGTTCAATTTCCAGCTGCAAATTAATAAAATTAACTTAACAGTGTATGCTTAGAAGGTGTCATGAACGCTAGGCAACCTTTTTTGTTTTATTTTTCTTTAACAGTTCTTTAGCTTCTACGTTGCTACCGTCGCGTTCTAGTATTTCATCGCATAATTCTGAACATAACTCGAATTTGTTCAAATAAAAAGCACATTGAGCAGCACGCCAGCGTGCTTTTGCATACTCCGGATTATATTCCAGAGCGCGTTGAGCGTCACCAAGCGCCGATCTATTTTGTTAAAATATTGAGATTCTTATATGAATTTATATACGGATCTTTTCCTACCGATAGTTCTTGAGAAAAAAGTGTGCAGCTGAACGATTATTATACAACACAGATTTCACCTCTGGCTTATCACATTTGGCTTTTAAAGCCTCTGTAAAGCTATATATTGCTGTGCGGAACTTTTTATGTTTCATGTAAAAGTTGCCGTCCTCTTTGTAATTGAGAGCAAGCTCTTCAGCTGTATTCTCCTCTGGATCATATTTTAACTTCTGCAGACCTTCAAACATTGGATGCACTTCGTCGCCGGGCTGTGGTGCTTTCTTCATGAAGAACGGATGCTTTTCCATTTCCTAAGAGAAAATTTTTAAATAGTTTTCTTTTTAAACAAGTTCAATTCAAATACTTCCTGCCAGCGATCCTCTGGCCAGCCTTCTTCGTAGCGTTTCCTTTCCAAACCATCAATGAATGCATCCAGATCTTCATCTAGTTTAGCGGCCAACGCCAAACGCTCCTCGTCTGTCCATTTCTTATTCATTGCCATTTGCTCGTCGGTCATAATTTACAGATTTTAATTGAAAACAATTCGCGTGTGCACCGAAAAAAGATGTAAACAAATCGTGCAAGAAGTCAACATGTGTTTTCCGGTGCTGTGTTTAGTGAGCGCCACAGCTGTGGCGCAGAGATGCAATGATACAAACAGGAAAAAATGGAAGCGTACAAAAGGCTACATTCGTCGCATTTAAATTTTACGGTACATTTGCGCGTATTTACATACATTCATACGCGTGCCAATATATATATTTTAGTAAGTAACAAAAATTTCTAGAAAAGTGCCATTAACCAATTCAAAATCAGCGGAAGAAAATCTTTCTAATGTGGTTACTCTCATTTTTAGGGGTGGCAGCAAGGTACATTGAACAGGTAGTATCAGTAGAGCAGCTGATTTGATTTATTTTCAAATTATTTGGTCTCGAAAATGTCAAATATTTTTAATTTTTTCTCACAAAAATTCTGAATTGTTAAAATCCATTTGCATGTGAAACCTTTTTCCATACAAAACAAGCGATTGAATAGCAGCTTTTGGAACGTTCGCCCAACTCAGCAGCACAACCGCTGATTACTGGCCCTTGTAAAGGATGGATCAATGCTTCGAGAAGCAAACAAATTTACTAGGAAAGAAAGTTGCAACAATTTTTATTTTTTCCAATTTCAATTTTTTATTTTTTATAATTTTTTGTATTTCA